CTCCATAAGTTTGAGGAGTGAAGAAAGGAAGGTTTTTGTTTGGCTTCTGATTCACTTCCTCTCACTGTGTCTCTTGCACAGTAATAGACTCCTGTGTCTTCAGTTTTGAGGCTGTTCATTTGCAGATACAGCTGGCTTTTGTCGTTGTCCCTGGAGATGGTGAAGCGCCCCTTCACTTTGTCAGAATAGTAAGTGCTAGAAGTCTGGGTTATCCATGACACCCATTCCAGTCCTTTCCCTGGAGCCTGTCTCACCCAGTGCATTGCATAGATGAAGAAGGGGAATCCAGAGGCTTGGCAGGAGAGATGGAGGGACTCTCCAGGTCTTCTCACAGCCCCTCCAGACTCCACCAACTGGACTTGAGATTGGACTCCTGAAAAGAAAGGAGCTTTTTCAATAGATATCTTGCATGCAAGAGGAGAACATAGCAATCAACTATGTAAAGGCAATAATTACCTTTGAGGACTACAAGTATTGACAGAAAGTTTAGCCACATTTTTGCTCCCTGTAATGAACAGATGAAATTGATAGGAGAGGATTCTGGAAATAGCACAGGGTTTATGTTGATGGGTGTTGTCTTAAAAGTAAGTTGAGCTTCTTTAATGGGGAAATTGTGTCTTGATTTGCATATCCTTTGGGATAAAAGAGTCACACAGGGCATTGATTAACCCTTAACTACAGAGATACGATTCCGGCTATGCTATTACAGAGAGAATGACCACTCGAGCTGCATCGTCCATTAATTGGACAACAATATTGTGACTAGTGGCTCTGGATCTATGGCTTCCAAAAGGTGAAGAAGACCATTTGAATTTGTTCTTGCCATGTTAATTACTGCACCAAGTATATTTTACCTGGATATCCATTTCATCAGGAGCTTCATCCTTGCTGATGTCAGAATCGGCAGTGTGTGTGGGGGTGTTTCTCATTTTCCATTACATAACTTCTGTTGCAATCCGATCCCACTTCATTCAGATCACACTCTGCTTCTTCATACCATGTTAGAACAGCTTCCTCAAAGTTTGGATCACCAAATCTCACTCTTTTTGGTGGAAAAAACGGCCCCAACATTACAACTTTATGTACATTAACAAAGATCGGTGATCAAAATAACCACAATTCAAATTCAAATGCCCCTGCAGAAAACACCAAATAACTGACCCAACTGTGATGCTGCATAGACCCTTATTGGTTGCTATTCGCCACCGGAACCGTCTATTTCTAAAAATAGGGGTGTTCCGTACATTTTGGAAAACTATTGCTGTCACTATGACGGAGGGTCTGTGGTTATTGGTTAATACATTTCAGTGAATATAAGTTGCTTGTGCATTTTTCAATTAAGAAAAGGATTGGGATACCGTTTTTCCCCCTGTGAGTTTATGGGAGGAAGGACCAGTTGATTGTACATTAAGTTCAACAAAGACTTGAAAAAATCTTGTGAAATCCAATTCTGTTCAAGAACTTAACTTCCTTTGTAATACATTGAGACAATGCATCACTTTGCAATCCTCTGAATTTGTGCATATATTTATATGCATTTTTAAAACATTTTTTTTTCATATCAGCCAAATATAAAATGTCCATCCATGTTTTCATATCCAGCAAAGATTTGAAACATTTCAGACATTTTATCTCATGACAAACATTAATGATATATCATTTAAAAAAGATTCTCAGTGATTAAGAAAGGAGGTTTAGAAATTTTGTTATGAAACATAATTAATTTTTATTTAGAACGTTTCACAAAGATAGAATGTTGTTGGATGATATTGAAAATAGACAATGGAATGCCATTATGTCGTTTTGCTTTGAATTTTGGAATATTTGTTATAAAGGGATCTTAAAACAACTTTATTCTTTTGAAGGATGAGGTAAGATATATATATATATATATATATATATATATATATATATATATATATATATATA